GCATCCACCTAACGGAATTTGTTAGTCTGATGGTTAAAAGGAGTCATGGGAGAAATGGATAAAAGATTAGGGAGTCTCACAAAAAAGGCAAGCGAGAAGGTTGTGATAGTTTAAGGACTCCTCATACAATTTGCATTTTTGTTATTTATTACACACAAATGTAAGTTAGCTTTGAAAAGGGGATACATGAAGAAATTGGATTTCACTTGCTAACAAGGTCCCAATAGGGCGAACCAACCTATGCTTGGATGGTTAGAGGGACTGTGGTATTCCCAGCCCATCAGGGTCAAGTCCTTGTGCTCGCATTTAGAGATGTTCCCGTCGACGACGAGGTGCTTATGGTGACTTCGTAAATTTAAGATGATTTGCCGGCTCAGTCTTTCGGATGTGCTCATAGGGGTAGGGTGTGCGTGTGTGCGTTCATAGGGGTGAGTGTATGCGCGTATACAGCTTGTGTCTGTACTGATGTTCAAAAAAAACAAGGGCCCAATAGATTATAGATGCACTAGTCGAAAAATGGTGCCAAAATGAAACACAATGACTTGTCGACTGTCTCTTACAACTTGAAAAAAGAAACCAAAATTATATTCTACTCCCTCCGCTTTTAAATATGAGTTTTTAAGATATTTTAATATGGACTACGTACGGATGTATATAGACGTATTTTAGAGTTTAGATTCACTCATTTTGCTACTTATGTTTTTCATATTAAAATATCTAAAAAGGCTTATATTTAGAAACAAAGGGAGTAGCAAATAAAAGTATTTCTTGGATTCCTATAAATAGACCTTGACGGCATATAAACGAATTTTTTTGCGCATAAGAGTATTTAGTTTTTCTATTTTCCTGGAGAGTGTTTAGGTATTTCACATCCATATAAGATTTGTGGAAGAGGTCGACACATAAACTTTCAAATCAAAATACTCGCTCCGTTCCACAATTCTTGTAGTGTTTTTAGGTCAAAACTAAAACCACGACAAGAATTATAGAACGGAGGCAGTATATAAGAGTGTTTAGGTATTTCACATAAGCAAGCACCAATATCATCAAACAACAGAACCCTTTGCTAATTACAAATACTCAACTTTTTAACTTCTCGCGTCCGCCACACTCTGCTCGGTGCTCTCACGCTCGGCGGCAGTATTACAGCTTAGAGACTGGAATAGCTTTATTACATCGGGAAGAAAACACACAAAATTCAAACTAGGGACATCATAATCATATATAGTCCCACTCTACTGATTCAGTTGTAGGCGTCGGGGTTGGCGATGAGGTAGGCCTCGGCGGCCTTAAAGATGGCGGTGACGGATTCCTTGGCCTTGGTGATTTCGTCATTCACCTCCACGCCTGGCAGCAGCTTGTACGTCGAGTCCACCTTCACGAAGCTCCCTCCGTTGGCCGCCGGCTCCACCTTGATGTGCGACATCGCAGTCTCGATGGCCGTGCCGATGCCACCGCCCTTGATGAGGGTCGACTTGCACTCGCACTTTTCCTCGTCCAGGAACTCGAGCCTCTCCTTCATGAGGGTAAAGGGCATGGCTGCAAGAGCAAAGAATCGCGTGTTATGTCGCCGCCTGACTGTGGTGACATGCGTGGATTGTATGTGATGCATATGTATGTACCTGAGGTGAAGTTGAACTGCCTGACGCTGCCAATGCCGCCTTCGCCCTCGACGGGGTGGGCGCTAGCGACGATGTTGGGTGCGAGCTTGGGTGCCAGAGTGTGCCAGTCCATGACGTCGGCGCGGAACAGGCGCGGTGCCGCGACCGACGACTCGATCCCGTGAGTCCAGCTGTTGGTGGAGGCCATTGCTGCGGTGATCAACTAGTTAAGATGGGCAGGTGCGAACGCTATGAGAGCTCAGTCAGAGCGTTGTGTTTGCTAGTGCAAAGTAATTGTAGTATGTTGCAGCGGCTGCTTGGTTGCCGAGAGCGTGCGCGGCGAGAACTATAAATAGGTGTCCCGGAGCGCGGGGTTGGTGCCGGATGGGGTCTGGTGAGGTCGCCCGTCGCCGAGTTTCCACGAGGGACAGCAGTTCAGACTTAATTATGCAGGCAGGGTTGGCATGGATGATGGATGGCACCCCTCGTGGCCCTCGTCGTCAACGTTTATTGATTCTGGTGTGCAAAGAATGTGTTCCAGGGAGTAAAATACTGTAATGCCAAACGAAAATAATGGTGCAGGTGTGGTTGGCATATGGCATGGTTGGTGTCTGCTGGGAAAAGAAAACGCCAGTCTTTTTTTTTGACAGTGCTACGGCGGGCTTACACCGGCCTGAACCATTTTCATTATAAATAAGAGAGATACAAGACAACGAGTACAAGAGATAGCAGCTAACACAACCCAGAAAGAACAAAGAAAAACAGAGAAGAGAACCAGACGCAAGCTACGAACAAAGAACCACAGAGAGAGAACCAGAAGCAAGCTGCGACAAGCAGCCAACACCAAGAACTTAGCACCCATCACCACCGGCGGACCGAGAAGAGCGGGAACTAGCTTTGTTGGATTGGTCGAAAGGAGATCC